TTAACCGGGTATTGAACTCACACTCTTTGGGTCCTGTCACTGGATCTAACTAACGCCTTTATTCACTGTGCCATGTGCACAACGGCCGAAACATTGTAATAAATATGGTGACAAAGATGAGGACAATAGTCTGAATAATGTAAATAGTGTGTGTGTGTATATATATATATATATATATATAGTCGACTCTCCCGTCGAATTTGATGTATGAGGGTCAAGCAGATCAGTTCCTAGGAAACCGACAGCCCGACAACAGCACATATGATCTAATTATAGTGGTGAAGGTTTTGTGCAGAACCATCCACACTTTTTGAAGGGCCGAATACAGAGACCTGGTGCACTACGTGCCACAAGGTTCCCAAACAACTCTCCGCAGGTTTTGAATTCATAGTTGTCCTTCTCCTAGACCAGTTGCCATCCAAGGCTACAGAATCCAGTCTGTCCTGCTACTTACCCATAGCTGAAGAGTGAAGAAGAGGTTAATACTTTTCTCAAAGGTATTAGCACATAAGTGAATGTAATGAATTCGACTGAATATATATCTCCTTCTCATAACGACTTTCAATAACACTCTACCTCTACTATCTCAGATAATCAAAAGTCACTGGGAAATACTACATCTCGAACCAGACCTAAAAACTTTGTTTGAGGAACCCAGCCTTTTAACATATCGTAGACCAAAGAACCTTAAAGAAATCATAGGTAGGAACCAAATTTCAGACAATAAAGTAACCCGTGATAGACCAAGAACAAAAAAAAATAGGATTTTCCCAACCATGTAACAACAAAAGGTGCCTATGTTGTAACCACATTAAATACACCAATTCATTCATTAGTTCAATCACTAAGACTACTTTCAAAATCTACCACAACTCTAACTGTATAAGTCATAATTTACTTATTAGAATGCACACTATGCCAGCAACAATGTGGGAAAATCTGAATGACCTTTTCACTACAGAATTAATAATTATTGGAATCAGATTAACTTGGCTTCCCATGAAAGATTATTATCTGTAGAACAACATTTCCACCTAGAAAAACATGATTTTAATAACCATGCAAAATTCCCTATTAATTAAAGAATAGAAATAAAAGATAAAGTTAGGAAAATACTAGAACATAAAGACAAATGGATTTTACACCACAAAACACTTTGTCCAGATGGACTTAACAACAGACTAAACAACACAGATAGAAATAATAAATAATCCTATAGATCAACCCCCACCCACATTTCTCAACACATACACTCACATAAATATACACACACACCCCCAAAATTAAAAGATAACATCCCCTTCCCAGCCACCAATAAAGCTGTCAGAATGACTAAGGACATAAATCTGAAACTCATAAATCTCCCATCGTCTCCTTGAAAGGCTCTGTTTAACCAATACAAAGACTGAGCAAAAATTAATCATAAAAAAAAAAACAAATCAAAACTACAAAGTTCACTTTCTTCAGAGACAGTCATTCACTCCTGTAGTTCACTGCTACAAACAAGTGGAATTTTTTTTCTCCTGATGATAGACATACTGTCCGAAACTAGTCAAGGAACCTAATTTAAATAAGAAAACAAAAATATACAACCCAGTGTGTCTGAAATTTTAATTTTTTAACATTTTTTATTGGTCAAGACATATATATATATATATTATATATAAAAAGAGAAAAATCCACAAACATTTTTCATAATAATGTATTTTTTTTATATACTTTATTCTATATATTTTGCTACATGTGTTTTGAGTCTTGTGACCTTCATCAGGCAAAGAATGGTTATTTCCACGTTTAAAGGAATTCATTTTTTTCTCCCTTCCTATGTTAAATCTTTTAACCATTTTCTTTTGTGTATAGTAGCAGTAGTAGTAATAGCAATCTGAATCCACCTTGGACTGTCTGAAAAATGTTTTTTTTTGCTTGTGGGGTAATAAAACAATTAAATTTGGTCAGAAAAAGAAAGGAGGAAGTCTTTGTTCTTATGTTTTATGTCTGCTTGTATCTTTTCATTCCTTCCTCTATTTCTATGTATTGTGTGTGTTTTTTGTAGTATGCATATATATATATATATATATATATATATATATATATATATATATATATATATATATATATATATATTTTCTTTCTCCATAGACATTTAATTGTTTTATCACACCTCAACTTAAGCAAAGAAACATTTTTTGGCCAGTCCAAGAAAGATTTAGATGATTATTACTACAAACAAAAGACAATGGTTAAATGATTTAACATAGGAAGGGAAAAAAAATCATTCCTTTAAATAATGTGGAAATAATTATTCTTTGCCTAACGAAGGTCACAACACCCAAAACGTGTGTAGGAAAATATATGTAATAAAGTATATAAAAAATCCACATTATAATAAAAAGCACATGCAGCTTTTTCTCTCATTAGAACAATCATAAACCCTTCCCATATAAATATATACACACACTTTATTAGGTATATAGTCTTCTAGTACCAGGTTGAACCCACTTTTACTTTTAGAAGTTCTTCAGTTTTTCACATGGAATCAATGATGAGCTGGATCAACTCTTTTAATATTTGGATCCATACAGTTATCATGGTATCTTGCAATTCTTCTATATCTGTTGGCTGCAGATCCAGGATTTGAATCTCACTTTCCACCACATTCCAAAGGTACTCTCTGGGATTGAGTGTTGCTGTGGGTAACACAGAAAGCTTGTTGCTGTATTTCATGAAGCAATCTGTCACTATTTTTGATTTGTGACACGTTGCGTTGTCCTGCTAGAAAACAGTCACCATAGTCCTTAATTGAGATATGTTGGTTAGCTACAATATCTAGTTAGTCTGTTGCATTGAAACAATCTTTTATTGGTACCAATGTAAGCCTAGAAAAGTATTCCCTGTACTATTACATTACTACCAAACCGTTAATACAAAGCAGGATGGATGTACATTGGTCATCCATTATCTGCATGCCAAAGAAGAAATTGAGACTCATCAGACCAGGTGAGGTTTTTTTTTTCCAATCTTCTATTGTTCAATTTATATAATTTATTTGATATGGCCTTATGCCCATCAGTTTTTGAATTTGGTAGTATAGCAATTCAATCCCTGGTCCAAGTCGTACAAACTCAATGAAAAGAGAGCAAACAATAACTGAACAGTATTAAAAAGAACAAGCCAAGAGATCTTAAGACATAGACAATGGAAGGAAAACAACTGTAGATTAAATAAAGGGTTTAGCTCAAAATTCCCTGAAGGTTACTGTGATTGATAGGCACCTGAAGAATGCTGGAGGGCACAACTAAAGAAATGTGTTTATGACGAAAATAAGGACATTAGTCCGAATGTAAATAAGAATTAAATAGCATCCTTGTTTGCTTGCAGCAATAAAAAATAGATTTTTTTTTTTTTTTTTTAAATCTAACTCAATTTTATGCAGTAAAACTTTCTTCCACAGGATAATGTTTTCTATTGTTGTTGTTATTTTATATACAATCATAAGATATGTAGTTTTATGCAGAAAGTTTCAATATCTAATTAAGAATCAGCAATATTATTAGTCCTGATCTGGCATCTTGGCTTCAGTCACTTTCCCATTGCTATAATGTAGCTTCCCTGTGCCTTTTCTATAAATACTTTCATAATTATTCAGATGAGATCTTCACTATTGTACCTAGACTTTAAGAATTTAAATGCAGTATTAGATTTGCAACAAAGTCTGACCAATTTGCAGTTGAATTGGCTAGATGTAACTGTAAATTCTATGCTGACAGTTTCTTTTCTTGCACTTCTTGCTTGTAGAACTCCCTTCTGGGTCTATGCTTTCCAGCCAACTTTAATCTTCAAAAATTTAAATGCAATGTCTATCACTATCTATGGTCTTTCTGATTACTCTTCTTTTGTTCTCACTACTTAGTAATGTATCTGTTTTCTAATTCTTCCACACCCAGTAACCTCTTAGTGACTTTACTGCCTTGCTTGGGGTGATAAAAAAAAAAAAAAAAGGTCAAATAGTTCCAGTTTAAAATCAGAAGATTGCTTGAATGCAAGAAAGGCATGTACTTCAAAACCTGGATTCATCTATCAATACAGTAGAGAGAAAAGTTAGTATAACTGCAGTAACAGAAAAGAATTACCTGCCCTTTGCTGGAGATGAACAACATAGCATCTAGAGTAATGGTTAACTATCTAATATATGCAGTGAGCTTGATTTTCACTGGGTGTCTTGTTACTTCCACCTTGTGTCAAATCAAGCTTTGTAATCATATTTACATGAGTGAGAAAAAGTTTTTTTTACAATTATATTCAGCCTGTATAAGGCCCAAGAGTCACTCGAGGTAGAGGGTTACAGAGTAAGAGGTACAGTTTATGGGGAATATGGGGGAGAAGATAACAGTTAACCCTAGACTTGAACAGGTTAAGATTGTAGTGATCAGAGAGGCATTCTCTTGGAATTTGGTTCTACAAAATAGTGATTTGCGGAAAGTAGCTGCTCAAGTAGAACCAATATCTTACCAATGGAATACGAAAGGAATAAGAGTAGTTCGCTAAAATGTGAATGGCATGGTGGGTCTTAGCTGTGAAGGTTAGAACTGGTGGATCCAAGGAATATAGCTCAACTGAACACTTTCCATGGAAATAGTGATAGAGTAGCAAGAGCCTTGCAACATTTTGTCTGTCGGAAAGGGGTTGTATAGTGGGAAACAATTCATCACCTACAAGGCTGCTTATGGAACCCATTTATGCAAAGGGACAAAACCGATGGGGATTTATGATAGCAAATGGCTTATTCACAAAAAAAAAAAAAAAAAACATTGATTAAAAAATTAAAATAAAAAAAAAATCAAACTTTCCATCAAACATTTCTAGATGTTGCATAAGGAAAAAAAAAATATGAAAATACACAAATTTTTTTTGTTTATTTTTTTTCATAGAAAAATTGTTTAATTTAGAAAAAAAAAAAAAAAAATGCTACTTAAAATAACAAAACGTGTTGTTGAAAATGGCTACACAAAATAAGCTGCTAGTTGAGCCATTTTGTCTTTCGGTTTGTTCTTGGCTCGACTACGACCACGCCCACGGCCTCTACCTCGACCAGCACCTCCACCTCGACCTGCAGAGCGTCGCATCTTTGGGGCCATGGCATGATGCATTTCAACCAATGGCTTGAAAGTAGCATCACAGAACACACACCCAGTACAGTCTGTAGCACCATCAGGTAAAGGAGATTTGTTCTGAAAAATAATATAAAACACATCCCATTATTTTAAGTCTCTTCTGAGTACTTTTGGTAATCTATGAAGACATTAAAAAACTGGAACTCATTGATGTTTTTTTCTACCAAGCTTAATGACGTGCAACACTTCACAAATAATGAGTTCGTTTTTAAAATATCCACTTTAGAAAAATAAAAAAATAAAAGATCATTTCTTCAGGAATTGAGGGGGATTTTTTACTTCAGACTGAAATTTGGCAATTCAGCCGAGTTCAGCCTAAACAAAAAACAATGACTTTTCTTTATATCAAGCCTTTTTTGTTTTTTTATTCTTTTTGATACTGAAACATCAAGTCATAATTTAAGGCATGCAGACACACACATGCATGCATTCTTAATAAAATTTACATTTAAATATGCAATTAAACAAATCTTGACTATTTCCATCTGTAGTTTAAATAAGTCTGTATTGCTGCAACGTCACTTGTACAAATCACAATATCGCTGGTTCAATTCACCGTCCTCGCTTTCTTCAGACATCACTACCTATAGCCGACATTTCTATCCCCTTTTTCACTGCTCCAGCACTTTTATCAGGCCAACACCGTGGTTCCCCAGCCAATCAGTGTTCTTCGCTGTTATTCTTGGTTACACAGGCAAATTGCCTCCTCCAGTTCGACCAATCAGTACACAACTTGCTATTGGTGGAAGCATACCAAACTGTACAAAAAAAAAAAAAACCCCCATCACTGCACATACTGCTAGAATGGCTGGACGGGAGAGTAATGTCATTTTCACGAAGTAAACTTGCTGATGTCACGTGCCGCACGTTAAGGTAAGACCCTTATTTTCCTATACACCAGATGCAAGCCACTCTGGCTTGCTTGCTTCTACGGGGCTGTTCACCACACACCATCTTAATGAAATAATGAAAAGATCTTCTAATACCAAATTATCCCAGTTGTTTGTTGCATAATAATATTGTTGGAACATTTTCAAAGAATTCAAAGAATTGAACATACTGAAGTCTTGTGAAATCATTAATAATTGTTTGTGCAAGAGTTGAATTGAAAGAGTTAATAAAGTTTTTGATTATAGTGTCCATTTTCCCCACAAGTAACAGAAAAAGAAGACATTGAACATTCATTAAATTGGACAAGAGTGATAAGGTAGTGTTTAGGCACAAGAGTTGATGACTTGTCCATATGTCGTAAGCAAAAAACAAACTTGAAAATGGTTATGTCTGGGAAAATATTCTGGTACATGTGTTATGTCACTTACCTTGCCATAATCCACATGGATGATGGAGGCTCCACATTCTTCACAGTCATCATCTTTTAATGTGACTTTGTAAGCTCCTTCAAGGAGATTAATCACAAGATTACATCTGGAAATACAAAGATCAATTTCAGAAAATTTTAACTGGTAACAAGAAATTTAATATTTTAAATTCAAACAGCATTACATACTCACATAGAAGATCTTTTAATAATTCTTTTTTATTTAAACTGATTAATCAAGTTGAAATCTTGACTTGAATCTAACTTTATACATTATTAATATTACTTCTCTTTCTACTGCATTCTTTTTCAAGGCCTCTCAATTGCAGTATCCTTATTGTTAATTTCACTCAAAGTTGTTTTCTGTTGCCATAGCAGGATATGACAACACAACTATGAAATTCAAACACTATTATTCAGGGATCAGAGTCACCTACTGGATAAACTTTTTGTAGAGCAAAGGAAGTTACATAAAAGAGTGATAAAGGTTAACCAATTTTTTTGTAACAAACTGACAATTACACAATTTGAATTGAAAAATTAGCTTCAAATTTATATATTCACATCTGATCTCTGATTTGAATTTGATCAATTTACATATGAAAAGTGGAGCGAATTTGGCTGACAATATAGCAAAATATCAGAGACTGATTAAAGTCTTGATATCAAGATTTATTAAACAATTTAACAAGAATGTTTGTTTTTGTTGATTTCTACATGTGAATAAGAATTTTCAGGTAAATTCCAAATATCATTTTCATAAATAATGGATCCCAGACTGAAACTATACAGTTCTCCATCCCTCTGGTAATAAATCTTTGCCCTAATACAAAACCCCAATAATCAGATGACTAAAGACTTACTTATTACAAGCCATACGCCATTTGGGTGCTGATGATTGATCCAGTACCAAAATGCCTTGGCTACATTCAAGGCATTCTGCAACACCATTCTGGGAGAATGCATGTTGGCAGGTTGGGTGGGTACATTCGTTGCAACCCATTCCTTTACGCATATCTTTGAAAGGAGGATTATTATAGCAATAAGGGCACAATGGATAACTCTGAAAGGAAAAAAAATATGCAGACATTAGATGTTCCTCAAAGTGTTGATTGACTTAAAAGATTGAACAAAAGAAAAAATATCATAGTACAAGAAATTGAAACAAATTGCTTTTTCTTGTTTTGTTTTCATTTGAATTATTAAGAAATATCTGATTTGTTTTGCAAGATTGCTAAGACCTGATACTTGAGGCTTGTTTAAAAAAAAACAAAAAAAACATCTAAAATCAGAGTAGAAGTCAATGCTGAGAAGATAATTCTATTTTAAAATCCATGATAATTTGCTAAACAGTTATCAGCAGTAGCAGGTTTAAAAGGTTCATAGTATCTAAGCTATCAAAATATCAGATGATGTTAGGATGACATACAAAATTGATTTGTCTATAAATAGGCTACAGTTGATAACTCTTGTTAGTGCATTTGTAGTTTACTGCATACAATTTTGTTTATTTATTTTGACTAATTTTCGTCTTACTATTGACTAGTTTACCCATGCTGTCAAATATAACCCTTTTCCTGTTCTACAAATATTTTTATGGCAACTGCTCAGATGAGCTTTTTTCCTGGCACTCGGACAACATGAATTTAAGTGTGCTACTAGATTGGTAACTAGGTCCCATTGTTTTACTGTTGAACTAGCTAGATGCAACCGTCATTTCTACTTTAAGAGTTTTTTTTCTTCACACTTCCCACCTGTGGAACTCCCTTCCAATTTCTTGCTTCCCTGAAAACTACATTCTTCAAAAATTTAAATGCAATGTCAATCGCCATCTTCTGTTTTCATGAAGCTGGTTATTATTTTAGCCCTTTCCTCAATCTCCATTTTCAATTTTCTTATTCACTTTCACTTCCTGAACACCCCCACCCCTGCATTCCAGTGGCATTGTCGCCTTGCTTGGGGTGAAATGATTAAAAAAATAAAATTAAAGTGATAATCCCCCTCCCTACCATCACCAACCTGAGTACTAACTATTATTAAGCTTTTAACATGTGAATCTTTAAATATATTTTTTCAAATACTTTTTGCCTCCCAGCTTCATAAACATACTGAAACAATTTACCAGTATCAAACATGTCATCACCAATGCAAGGGAGATAACTGGATTAAAGCAAAAAGACAAATAAAACATTTACAAAAGGTGGTATCATTTTGCTGTACTATAGTTATCTACCTTGCAGTGTGTGTGTGTGTGTGTATATATATGTATGCAAAAATAACATTTTTGGATTAACAGCTTGTTTCATGCAATGTGATTTTCAAAATGAGTGCTTCTTTTGGAAGCTCTCAAGTGCTATAATTCTTTTACTTGTTTTTCAAAAAGAAAGTGTTAGTGTTCCAAAATGTTTAAAATAATTTAATCCATTTAACTATTCTTCAATCCTATAATTATCCATTTCTCCTCCATACATACAGAGCAATTTCTTCCTTGGGTTTGCTTTCATCTTTCTATTATTATTATTATTATTACTACTACTACATCCCATTCTACTATTGGTATTTCCCCCTTTCATTTCTAGTTCTTGGATGTGTTTTCACATGGTCTTTTTTCAATATCTTTCATATTTGAATGATAGCAAATGATTTGCATTCCTTTCTTTTCCAGTTGCTCCAATGTAAATCCTCTCCACCCCCACCACACGCAAAAGTAACATTTTTTTTTTTTTTTAATTATTTGAAATTTTAATTATTTACTATATATTGTAAAATGTAATAATGGCTAGAAAAATGCAAAATATCATGAATCAGTAAACATTTTGGTGACTCCTTTCTTTAAAAGAAAGAAATGTTAATTACCTTTCCTTTGGTCCCTGTTGTCCACAAAACTAATTCATAATCATCTAAAGGACATTTAAGTTCTTGATAAAGTTTGATGCCACCATTTTGTGGTAAGGAATATGTCTCATCACAATTTGAACAATGTAAACGACTTGGCTTTGCTTGGATTAATTTCATGTAACGGCGACATTTTCCACAGCTGAAAAGGAAAAAAAAAAACATATATATTTTTTCCTTGTTCTTTCATTCATGCTTAATAACACATAAAATGTTATTCTTTTATATTCAACATCTATTTTCGGCTGACTCATTGCCCAAAGGTTAACAAGTGTATTTTCATCAACATTCAGTCAGATAAAGGTGCCATACATGATACACGCTTGAGCAATCATGTGTCTTTCAATACATGACTGATGAGGCAGAAGATTTTTGCCATAGTAGGTTGCCATTTCTTTCTGTGGTAGACTGGTTGCCAACCAAGGTTAAAGAACCCAGTCTGTTCTGCTATTTAACCCATAGCTAGTTGGAGAAGAGATGGATTCATACCTTCCCCATGGGTATTTAAAGAGAAATTTTTAATGAATTAATAGATTTATTTTTAATTTGACAATTTTATTACTTTAAAAGTTATTATTTATTGAAGTAATAAATATGTTGGTTTAAAAATAAATCCGTTCTTTAGAATATAATATATATATATATATATATATATATATATATTGGGATCAAATATGGATTAGAATACAACAGAATGATAGGATAAGGAACAAATAGGAAACATTTCTGAATTTCACATATTTTGGTTTTATTTAAGCTTCATCAGAAAATTTTGGTACTTTTTATTGGTTAAGCAGGCTTCCCATATAACAGTCTTGTTGAGCAGCATTTGTATGCATAATTTGTCTGTATCATTCAGTTGATAGTGTGTATGTATCTTTGAGTGTTGAGTGGTCATTTTCATCTATGTCAGGTTGTTGTCCATATATTGATTTGGGGAAGTTTTGTGTGAGAGTGAAAGAATTTAAGTTACACTGCTTGTGGTTAGGTAGACAGATTCTTGATTTATAAAAGTTGGCGTTATAATATAGTGTGTTTGATGGCAAAATATTTATCAGGACTCCCACTAAGTATTCCCTAAATAATAATGTTCATTTCTAATTAGGATGGCATTTACAAAATCAAAGTTATGGCCTGCTTTATTTCTGTATTGTTATGAGCAAGTTTAAAGTTCTCTCTTATGTCAGTAGATGTGAGCTTTTAGATTTCTAGATGTTTCGCCAATGTAGCTTTTCTTACATTGTAGGCTTTTTATATCATAAATCTTGGCATTTGATGTGATATCGGATCTACTTTCCTTTCTAAATATATATGTCTGATTGTCTTGGAAGTGGTGGTAAAAATCTTAGTGCTGAAGATAAGAAGTTTGTTTTCAAATTTTGTTGATAGATTTCTGGAGGGTAGGATTATGAATATAGGTGGGAATTAAACGTCACACCAAGAATGAACATCCAAATTAAATTTTTTGTTGGGCATTCACATGTCAAAATTGATGGGAGAGTCCATTATATATAAATTGATGAATGAATACTTTTATAATGTCCCAATTCCTAAGTAATGGTAAACATCAAAGAAATTTTCAAGTCAAGTCATAATTTTAAAATGTAATTTGTGATGTTGCAATTGTGTAGGAGGGTGGGAAGAGCTAGAAAATGTAACATTTTAAAGATGATGTGAAATTGTGCAAGGCAACTTTTCATGGGCCCACTCAAATGTGGAAAATTATAAAAAGAGAAGGTAAAAAATCTGAATGTTTGGATATGGTGTTTATTGGATGGTGGAATAAAAAATGGCAAATAGAAATTTTCTTGAGAAAAACATGATAATCAAAAGTGTTATTCCAAAAGGAACTTTAAGAAGAATTATGAAGAAGATGAAAAGGAGAGAGAGAGAGAAAAAAAAAAAGATTTAAGACCAGAGAGTGAATTAAATGGAAAATTAAACATAGTAAAAAAAAAAAAAAGAAAAAAAAAAAAGAGTAGTGGAAAATGTGTAACATTCATACAGGGTGTGGCAAAAATACCTCCCACATAATGCTAAGACATTATCTAGAATGAGACACAATTGTCATTAATGCCTGATTATGTGGGTAGCATTTCTACCACATCCTGTCTCTGTTCAGCTTCTATTTCAGCAATATTAAGAATCACTCACCGGGACATAGGCTTGCCTGTTGAGGCTAGAGGAGAGAAGGAAACTTCAAAGAGTTCATCCATGCCACTGATATTGTTGACAAAATATTTGAACTTGAGAAGAAAAATCTCCAGAGCATGTTCAAGTACAGCATGGTAGTTAGCTTTGCCAATTGCAATCAGGTTGAGTTGCTGTTCCATTGCTGATCGCATAGTTGGAAGAACAAGATCTGCATCAATCTAAAACAACAAATACGCAATAGTCTTTCAATAATTGTTTGAAAATTGTATCAACAACCTGATCTTTATTTGGGACAATACAGTCTCTTATCTTTCTATTGAGGGTTGCTGAAACGACATTGGTTGGGAGAAGAGAAAAAAAATATTTTAAAAATTCTACCATTGCCAAAAGATTCATATCATTACCTTTTGGTAGCCATGAACGAGAACAATTCCCAGAGTTGTTGGCTTCAGTTTGCGTCCAGAAACAATTGTGACATAATTCCTTTCACAAATGTTGTTGATGTGAACAGGTATACTGGCATCAGTACCAATACCATGTTTCTCCATCAAAGTGATGAGCTCACTCTCTGTTAAATAGTCAGGAGGTCCTGTTTGACGTTCACCGAGACGCACCTTAATTTAAAACAAAAAGAAAATATAATTAATAGAAAAGTCAAGAAAAGAAATCTATAAATACAATTATTATTAGTGTTATTGTTTGAGTAATAAAAAAATTACTGCAAAGTTAAATGACAAAATGGAAAAATCATGTTTCAGCCTTTAAAAGGCCTTCTTCAGATAAATTGGTTTTATTGATGGAATTACATATGTAAGGAGGGGGAATTAAAATACAAACAAATGTCAATTATAATTAAGAAATAAACACCGAAGATGCAGGGTTACTTAATTTCAAATGTAAATTTGTAGTGACTGATGCATTTAGATGCATAACTAAACCAATTTCATTCAACTTCCAATCACTTTTGTTTTTATAGTAGTCTTTAAATATCCTACAAAATTATGACAGATTATTTTTTGCATGGATGTCTTTAAGACAATCACAGAAGCAAAACTATGTATATTGCTTTATTTTACAAGCAATCCAGTTGAAATTCATTTTACAAAACTCAGTCTTTGGAAAAGGATTCTTGTTAACAATTTGTACCTGAAAATAGTTTTTACTTGCTAAATCCTCATCTTATGAAGATTTCTCTTAATAATATTTTAAAACTAATTCAACAGACTATTTTTTTTTTATTTAAGGTAATTGGACTTTTGGTTTGACTCTGAAAAATGATGATTTTATTGCATTCGTCATCACATCTTGGCCTTTTGGATAAGATCACAGTGTAGTATCTGTTCTTATCAGCTTAACCTAATTTTCTCTCTCTCTCTCTCTCTCTCTCTCTCTCTTTCTTCATCTTTCTTTCATTTGAAACTGAAACCAAGTAGGGTCTTTTCCCTTCTTTCCACGCGACCAAAATGGAATAGCTGATTATTTATGTGGTATTGGCAGGGTTTAACGGTTGTACACACTAACAAAGAGAGGGACAAGCACAATTATAATAGGATATTTAAATGATATATGTGAATGTAGGTGATCATGGCTCTCCAATGCTTCCATTTCTTCAACACCTGAATTACCATTACTGTTCTTAGGAAAAAAAAATAGTCACATTTCCTAGTTTTAGATTCACAGTTGTCTTTCTCCAAGATTGGTTGCTCTACCAAGGCTAGTAAGTATAGTCTTCTCTACTACTTTACTACCCAGAGCAGGTGGGTAGAAGAGACCTTTCCAAAGGGCATTAGTGCAAAGTTAATCTTTGTTTGATTAATGGTATATCAACTCCTTATGGGTCATTTAATGCTGAAATTTAATTTTCTTGGGAGTTTTGAAGCAATAAATATATGACATGTAATTCTGCTTTCACAATTGAATACATGGTAGATGATACTCAGCTTTAGTGTATGTTTGACAGAATCACTAGAGGTGGTGACGTGCGTTTTATGCTGTAGTTTTCTTAATATTTTGGAAGTTTGTATTTTTGGAATACAGCTTAATTTCTTTAAGAAATTGTTGGATATTATATGCATTAATGTCATGAAAGAATTCTTTCATGTTGGTTGGTCAGGTGATTTTGTTTAGTGGCATTATCAACCTCTATAGGTTATTTAATACCGAAATCTTAATATTTTGAACACAATTTTATGGCTCCAACTAAATATATTTTGAATGCAAATGTATACCTTCAACTACAGATAAAATCTATTGCTGGTCATTTTGCTATATATAGATATTGTTGGTCATTTTGTTATAAAAATGTATTTTTATACTTTCAACAGGTGATATCATTGTGGGTCAGAGTGAACCTGGGAACAACTGCAATTAAGAGGTGATTCTAGGCTCCTCAAAACCTCCAATCTCCTAATCAGAGGCCTTGTTGCCAGATGTAGCTTATCATCATACCAAACACTAGCAAAGTTAATGCAACACACCTTAGTTGGAATTTGTACTGTCATTTTCAGCATATTAAATACATTTTTTTTTCTAAAATAAGGCTTAATAAAATAATTTTTCTTTATTTCTCTAGTTTAGTTGAATTTGTAGGTTCATACCTTTCATACATTGATAAACATTCAAATTAACATCACTAATTAGCAAATTATTTAATCAATTCCTGGAGTCCTAACCTAATGCCATAATTTATACATAGGAGAAAACAAATAGGGCACATTTTCAATAATCCCATATTCAATTTGGACTTTTCATAAACCAAGAGCTATATAAAGTACGTCTGCTTTGCACAAATCTCCACTAAGCAAAGAATATCATCTCTTTTCAGACAGCAATGGAATACAAGCACTAAAAACAAGCAGCAGGGAAATGGAAAATGAAGAGACAGTCCTTTAGAATCTAGCAGTACTAAAAATACAATTCATATTCAGTGCAAAGGTAAAAAAAAAATGCTTAAAAAAATGTTAAATCAATAGTAAAACAAATGAAACAAGGTAAAGAGTCTCACATACGTCAGCAATGTTACATGTCTGTCCTTTGGTGAAAGGAGGAATATCTTCATCGTCACTAATTGCTTGCCAGGTCATGACAGAAGTGTAACCAGGATCTGTGAGAATTTTGCCAGTGCATAAAAATTTCTCTTTACCAATGTCAAAATAGACTGTTGTTTGCATATATCGACAATCGGGAGACACCTTAAAAGAAAGAAAAAAAAAAAATCAAATTGCACTATTAGCTGGAAGTTTTTTTAATTGTGAAAATAAAGAAATTCATTAACCTTTAGCACTCTGCATTATTAATATTACTTCCCTTTCTATTACAATCTTTTGCAATGCCTCTCAATTGCAGTATCCTTATTGTTAATTTCACTCAAAGTTGTTTTCTGTTGCCATAGTAGGATATGACAAAACAACTATGAAATTCAAACAGTACTGTTCAGAGATCAAAGTCACATTATTGTTTCAGAGATAAAAGTGGCAGGATAAACTTTTGTACAGCAAATGAAGTCACATACAGTGATAAAGTAATTGTTATCCTTTAGAAAAAAAAAAAAAATCACTAAAGGAAGAATAATAGAATAATTAAAAAAAAAAATTTTCTACACTATAAACCTCACTTGGTCTATTTGCATTGTGTGTAGACAGTGTAGATTAAATTAGCTTGCCAGTGCCAGACTTATAACATCAGAAGATTTCCTAGCATATAGCACACCTTTTTGACAAAGAATATTTAGGAAACAATAATATTCAATTAATGATTCATCCAGACTATTTTTTTTTAAATTATTTTTTTTTTAAATTATTTTAAGATTTAATATGTGAAAACATAATTCAATCATTTATAATGAAATGTATTTAGTTCTGGAGTCATCAGGGGATGAGTATGTCAATCATAGATGTTTAGGTGTTAGTCTTGTACGGGTAAACCAACTTTGTGTATAGAAGACTCAGGGTGATTTTATTCATTTATCCATTTAGTGTTGGATAAGGTATGTTGACAGCTGGAAAATTGTTCTCCAGTGAGCCTGTCTTTATAACTTTATATACTCTCTCACTCCCTATATATATTTTAAGACATTTTTTATGTTTATACATTCTTTTTATAGATACAAATATTTAAGTAAATGCTCTGTTTATAATAAACAGTATTAAACAACATTTACTGGCCTGAATGTCCGAGAAATTTTCATAGAAAATATGCATCCTCTGACAGGAATCGAACCTGTATCTTATATGGAACCGTCATATAGCATGACATGCCTTTAACCGATTGGGCCACAGAGAAGTGTTCGGTCAGCAAGGTGGATTTTAATGTTTTTAAACTACAATCTTCCATGATTCTCTCACGTACATTCATATCTGCTTATGGCATATCCAAATGTAAACAAATGACATCACAAATTATGAAATGGACAATGTCTGACAATTATTTTAAGACATTTTTTCTGTTTACACTTAACAACGTTAATTCCTATGAAAGAATGGCCCTTGTCTTAACAAGAGTTTCATGCTCACATGATCTGCAGGCTTGAATGTTTCAAGTTCCTGTTACTTCTAGGACCATCTTTTCATGTGCAGGAGTATGTATGTATATATATATATATATATCTCCAAACAACAAATTCTATTAACTTAACCAACCATAATTAATACCCTAAAAATAGAAAAAATTAACTTCACCATTTAAGCACTAGTTTATTAATAACAAAGTATGAACATAAGTGTACATGTACCTGTGTACGCACATTTATATATACAGGGTGCAATGGGTAAATTGTCACCATTTTATATTTTTAATTTTGTGCATGGGTGTTGTTTGTTTTTGTTGACTGCATAGTATAGCAGGGTCAGTTGGGTATCTACTGTGAGAAAAAGAGCACTGTGATGCAAATTACTCTGCCAGGAATTTGGAAACAGCATGCTGTACTGCTTGGGATTTGCACTGAAAGCTCGAATACAAACATTTCAGAGCGTTTGGGTGTCAATCTGAGGATAGTGCAGAGGACTTGGAAAGAGGTGGATAAGTCTAATGGTGATTACAAAGGTACATCAGCTTGGAAAGCTCATTCTGATCATTCTAATAGGAAAGGAACTCCCGAATTTGTTGGTGATGGCCTCAGACTCAACAGAGTGTGATGAAAGACATGACTTACCTCAGAATTCAAAACGAGCGCGAATGTATCTTGCCTGCAAAGTGATGACAAAAAAAAAAAAAAAAAAAAAAAAAAATGGCTGCTATTGAAGACACAATTTATACGTGTTTATCTTGTCCAAAACGAGACGATATTTGCACACATGCAAATTTTGGCCGTCTTGGAACAACATAAAAAGCAGGGTGCCAGCAGCACCAAGTGTCAGGGAGCAGACTGCGTGTAATAGAGTTGGATGTATGGATTGACAGACGGACAAAGAGGAAGCTGAGGTAGGCACAGATGAGTTGGTGTCTGTTTCACAACTGCCCGGTGTAACAACTGAGAAAGGGACTCACGCAATTCATTTCCTTGAGGCGACCGAAGAAGAAAAAAAATAGCTAGCCTGCCGGTGAGTGAGGCACTTCACTTTTTGAACCCCCCTCATCATCATTTTTTTTTTTCTCCTACATAGAGGCCTACATCAAGTGCCTTGAGGTGGTAGTGCTGTCCTGGGTCAAGAAGGTAGCTAGTGGAAAACCCTATGTCTGGCAACAGGACTCTGCACCATAGCAAACATAAGCAGGAGAACCCAGTCATGGCTGTCAGACAATTTCTGCAACCACATCACCCCTTACATCTGGCCATCTAATTCCACAGGCTATAACCCTCTTGATTATTATGTGTGGGGCGTAGTTGAGTAAGAGACCCACAAACCTCCTTGTAACACCAAAGATGAACTGAAGGCAAGGATTATGGCAGCATTCACCAACTTAAACAAGGAGACCATCCAGAAGTGTTGCAGGAGATTCTGAAATTGGAAGTGGTGGTTGAAGCCAATGGCAATTTTATTGAATAAATTTACTCTTTAGCATTCAAGATATTTTTGTGTAATTTTTGGTAAATATATGCGTTAAAATGAGATGTCAGTGTTATTTTCATTTTTGTGTAATTTAGAAGACAATTTATCCATCGCACACTGTATATAGGTTTTGGTACTACCTGCAGTTTCAGACATTTGCAGGAGGTCTTGCAATATATCCCCTCCAATGGATACTTATCAAATCACTAGATATATACACCTTTTAAAATCAAACAGAGAAGCTGTATTGCATGAGCATATTATCAGATATCAATTCCAACTGATCATGAGACAAAGGTTTGTAGAAAGAGGGTAGAAATTGAAAAACTTGCTGACCATAGTGAATACTTACAGTTGCAATGAAATGTTGTGTGATGTATTCATAGAGTTTCCATGCTTCATGGCCCAATTCACTTTCACTTGCTCCTTTCATTGGGGTGATGGGGGGATGATCACCAGCATCAACACCCTTCCTAAAAGAAAGAAGAAAATATTAAAAGACAAATTGTAAAACCACAAAAGTTACTTAAACTAATCTTAGATTATTCTAATATTTTTTCTTTTTATAACTAAGATTAGTAAAAAAAAAAAAAAAAGTAAATTATTTGAACACCTAAAAGAAATGTAAAAATGTTTTTATGATGGATCAAAATAGTGATTTTTCAGCTTTTGGCTTATGTCTGATTTCAAGGATATAGAATCAATACTAATATTTACTAATTATAACATTCAAATATTTCTCTGTTTGACAAGTAATTTTGCATATTATATTTAACAGGTCACATGTCTTTAACCTTATTTATTTAATCTTATATATTAAAACTGCTACATTCTTTGACCTCCCTATAGTTGGTCAGAACTCCATTGATAATCCCTTTCCACACTGTTCAGTCCTGCATTACTGTCTCCAGATCCCTAATGTCCAACCTTGAGTCTAGAGCTATGGTGTCAATTTTTGTGAGAAGACACTTTCAGAAGGATGTCATGGGAGTAAGGATGATTTCCCTGTCTGCATGGTGGCAGTGGCCGGCAAACTGTAATTGTTTTTGTTTGAGTTTAAGAGAGATTGGTCTCAGTTTTGTGTAAATTGTGTTAAGCATTGCATGGGATCTCCAACAGATTTTCTAGATTTTTCTAAGTAAATTTGTATATGTTCCATCCAGTCATCTTTCAAGATGAGCAAATAATATCCAAGTTTCTGATCCATGCAGTAGGACTGGTTTAATCAATGTTCCAAAGGTTTGGACTTTTAAAGAGTGTGGAAACATCCAATGCCAAATCTTGTAAAGTTTGTTACATGCATCCCATGTGAACATAATACATGCTTTGTATTAGGTAGTTTGGAAAATAATGTCCCATTTTAAAATAGACTTTTATTCCTGAATTAATGTATATTCATATCAGTGAAAATAGGAATGTTGACAATCTCTACATTTCTGTCATTGGGTTATGTTATTTATGCCTTTATAATAAAACTCTAAAGGTTTGGATGCCAAGAAATATTTGAATGCTTGAAAAAGTATTAGTGAGTAGGTGAGAGATCAGGGGAATATGCTGTGTGTGGCAGTTTTGTATTCCAAGTCAGTGAGCTTCTGCAGTGTCATCTTGGTAACATGTGGCTAAGCATTGTCATGAAGCAGAACTGAACCTTGTCCATTAACCAGTGATGGTCACATTTTGCTTAACTGAATGAGAATTCCATGGAGATGCTGGCAATAAACTTTGGCAGTGATGCTCTGCTTAGATTTTAGAAAGCTGTAATGGATAATGCCAATGGTGGACCACCAGAAAGTTAGCATAATCTTCTGTTGATGCAATTTTGGTTTGGAAAGTGTTTGTCTTGATCAAACTATTGAGCAGATTGTTTACTATTGTCATAAAAGAATCTATTTCTCATCACAAGTTGATCATTTGAATTTTGAAGATGTAGCCAAACCTTTTGACCTTCACTTTCATGTGGAACCCATTTATTGAGTTTTTTTCACCTTATCAATACTCGACATGGTCCAATATTATTGAAATGCCGACACCCATTATCTGAGACATTTCTCTGACATGTTGACGTATGTCTTGTTTGAACAGTGTTTTCAGATGTTGATTGTCAATTGTACATGGACATCCTCATACCACCTTGATCTTCAAGGCTCATATCCTCATCGTGGAACTTCAGAAATCAACATTGAACTGTCCGATCACAATTCCATGCTCTGCTAATGTTGACAAAAATTTGAAAAGAATTATGACCAAGCTTGAACTCATGCAAAAATAAAAAATAAATGCATCTCTTCTTTTTTCATGTTCAAGATGAGGGGGGGGATATAAGGTTTTAAATTCTGAAGGAGACTGATATAAATAAACAAAGAGGACACTTTAATCATTAGGAATGAGTAATATATTTTTGTGCAACTATTGTAATAATATATTAGAACACAACTGAAAGGCTTATTCTAAAATTGGACATTATTTTTCAAACAACCTAATATCAACTTTATGCTTTTCAGTACATTTTCCAAAATAATATTACTGCCCATTTAACAAGTGCTTATCCAAGATTGAAAGAGATTCTTTTATATGAAACATTTTCAGAGATGTAGATTAAAAAAAAAAGAATTAAATGATTTATTCCCTTTTACTGACATAAATTATCATCATATTTTCTGATAAAGTTCTTCTAATACTTTTTAATCCCCCCCCCTAAAATACAAACGTTCATGCCTTTTGCACAGCATTGTAAAAATAATGAAAAAAAAGAAAAAAGAATTTCTAACCGTGGTTTCTGGTTTCCCTGCTTGAGTAATTCCTTTACAAAAGGTCCCCAGGAAGAATTGTTGGTTTGTTGCCGTAAAGTTCCCCTGTAAATAAATATTAATAATTAGTAAAAATAAATTGTAAACAACTGCTTTTAGAAATTAAAATAGTCTTATTAATTATAAAATGCACTAAATTTAATTGTTACATGCTCAATATGTCAGTATTCTGAACCTAAGAGATCAGACTCGAAATCTGAGTCATTAAAAGTAACAGCCCCCACATTGAATAGACTTTTCATCTTAATGAATCAGAGAATTGAAAGCTACAATTTCTTGAGCTAGATTAGTTGTAGTTCTAGCATCTGATTAAAATGAATGATTGTAGCATTCTTAACCCTAGAACACTAACCATCAATTAAAGTTACACCACTACTAACCATGGGTATATCATACCCAATTATGAAAATATCAAAAAAAATATTAAATATAAATCTTTATTTGAAATATTTTACATGCAGGTACTTCAAACTTTGTATTTTGAGTTAACATTAATAAGAACTGAAAAATATTATTTAGGCAAGAAAATCAGGTACTGCAAATTGTAATTAAAAATAGGAAAATTTGCGCTGGGTACTATATACCCATGGTTAGTGTTCTATGGTTAAGATTGGAGAATCGGAAAAATGTTTTCCTAGTACAAGAAAAGAAAAAAGAAACATTTTAATTAAACAGTAAATTCAAACTTTATTGCTGTTATTTTAAATGAAAGGTGAAATACTCACAAATTACTAAATGAAAATTTGTGAACCTTACATTGTAGATTTTATTGAATAAAAAAAAAAAAGAAAAAAAGGTGATCTTTTTTCTTGTGTAGAATAAATAAAAGTAAAAAGACTTCAATATCATGCACATCACATACAAACATAGACAACTGTTACCAATCTCTTACATATGCAAAATCTTTTTTTTTGACAATGATGTTCATTCTGTACAAGGCCTGGTAACCACTCAAGGTAGAAGGTTACAGAGCAAGAGATACAGTTTATGCTGATATGTGGGGAAGATAATGGTAACCCTAAACTTAAACAGGTTAAGATTGTAGTGATCGGGAAAACATCCTCTTGGTAATTGGTTCCACATAGCTGTGAAAATTAGAACTGGTAGAACTAATGAATGTAGTTCATCTGAGAGGCTTGCAATGTTTTGTAGGAAAAGAAATTTAACTTAATCATATACTTCCATAGGTTGTATTACTTTCACAAACCAGTAATCACACTTAAAAGTTTGGACTATATGAAAAGAATTTATACCTAAATTAAGTATCTATTTATGAAAGTCTGAGATTAGACAATGAACAATCCGTTAACAGGTCAAAAGCAATGTACTAATATTTTATTAACATTTTTGTTGATCCATGATCATTCTTTTTAATATATTAGGGAAAATAAATAGCTGACGATACATGTCACAAAAAATAGTTGATTGCATTATTTACCTTCACATTTAATTAACCACAGTAAACACAAATTTTAAACTTTATTGCTTTGTGTTCTAAATGAAAGGTGAAATACATACAAACATTGATGACTGTTACTGATCCCTTACATATGCAAGATTTAGAGGAAAAGAAACTTAATTTAATCATACAGTAAAACCTTGAATTAACAATCTGGGAACCAACGAACTCTGGATTTAACTTTAAAACTTTTCAAGCTTTAATTAAAGCTATATAGTAACTTAAAAATAAAATACACATACATATTGTATTTACATTTACTTACAATAATTTTGTACTGTAATAGGTGTTTTTAGGCCACAAAAAAAAAGAAAAAAAAAGTGCTTCAAATTAAGGAAAAAATATGGATTTAACAGACGATCACTTTTATTTGTCCATTAAATTGAGGTTCCATTGTATACTTCTGTGTCAGTTCATATTACTTTCACAATCCAGTAATTTTTTTTTAATCAGTATCACCCCACGCAAGGCAGTAAAGCCATTAAGATACAAGGGGTTACAGGGTGTGGAAGAATTAGGAACAGAAATATTAATAATGAGCAGGAAGAGAAAAGAGTTATCAAGAAGCCAATAGGTAGCAATTGACATTGCATTTAAATTTTTGCAGATTAAAACTGCCTGGAAAGCATGGAGCTGGAATGGGATTCCACAAGCGAGATGTGCAAGAAAATAAACAGTTAGTATAGAACTTATAGCTACATCTAACCAGCTCAACAGTAAATTGATGAGATCTCAATGCCACCAGTCCCATACTGTGTTTAAATTAAAAAAGTCTAGGTACCATAGTGAAGAGCTCATCCAAACAATTGCCATAAAAGTATTTATAGAAAAGGTAGAGAGAGGCAACCTTACAACAGTAAGAAAGCGACTGAAGCTGAGCCACCAGATCAGGACCAATAATATTGCTGATTCTTCTTTGGATCTAGATCAAGGAACTTAAGGTAAATAGCAGGGGCACCAGACAATATGTGGCAGCAATATTCTAAGCATAAATAAATGGTAGACATAGATATTTTAATATATTTTCCGTTTTATGTTATTTTTATAGATATAATTTATTCAATTAAATTCTGTTTTTTTTTGTTTTTTTTAAATTAAACAATATTAATTATATTTACTGGCCTGAATGTTTGAGAAATTTTGCAGAAAACATGTGCTTCTCTGACAGGAATCGAACCTGTAAACCCAATGGGAACCATCATTTGATCTGATGTGCTGTTAACCATTCAGACATAAATAAGAAAAGTTCAGTTTACTGTTTATAAACATACACTTTTGATGATTTTTCTTGATCGATCATATCTGCTCAAGAAATATATCTTAACATAAACAATGGTAACATATTATGAAATGGATTAAGTCTGACAATTTTAATATATTTTCCATTTGTAATATATAATATTATAGATATGCAAGATTAGATTCTGGAGAGAAAAATTGTCTCACACCCTATTCTTAAAATTTTAGACAATATAAAGTGAATTTATAAAATACCTAAATTAAGTAACTATTTATGAAAGTCTGAGATTAGACAATGACCAATCTGTTTAACAGGTCAAAAACAATGTACTATTGTCATTTATTTTTTAATTAACATTTTTGCTGATCTATGGTCCTAACTCTTTAATATACAGTGGGGGAAAATATCTAATGATACATGTCACAAAAACCATTTGATTGCATTATTTACTTCAAAAGCATATCATAACAATTTCATCTTTACACTAGTAAATAACAGCCTAAAGCACAACAAATAGAAAGTGCACAATATAAACAATTTTAAAAGTTGCACAGCTAGTTTTTCACCGAGATAAGTTCATATTATATTTCATTTATATTTATATATATATATATATATATATATATATATATATATATATATATATATATATATATATATATATATATATATATATTAGTATGTTCTCATTGAGAATATCTTGTTCATCGAACTTGTTGCGGACTTAGTAATGTCAGTTTTCTCTCACAAAGAGATCTTGTACCAAAATTTAGCTACAAAAGTGTGCAGTTTTCTCTCACAAAGAGATCTTGTACAAAAATTTAGCTACAAAAGTGTGCAGTGCATTTGAGGCCAGTGCAGTTCTCTCTCACAAAGAGATCTTGTACCAAAATTTAGCTACAAAGTGTGCAGTGCATTTGAGGCCAGTGCAGTTCTCTCTCACAAAGAGATCTTGTACCAAAATTTAGCTATGAAAGTGTGCAGTGCATTTGAGGCCAGTAAAAGCTAAGATTGTTGGATAATTCAGTTATAGTCAGGGCTAAAAGTAAATTTCCCAACTCAGTGTTGAAGTTGAGTAGCAGTACACTCTTTCTGTCATAGTAAGATGATGTTTTGCATTCATTTGAAGTCTCAGAATTTTTGGTGAGTTGGCTGTTGTTTCGGCAAAATTTAAGAATGGGTTAGTTTTTTTACCTTGTACCTGTAATAACTTGTAACTTGTGCTATTTGAATATTTCAGAAACAACTCAAATGATGGATTGTAATATCATTAAAAAAAAAGAAGACCAATGGCGGAACAGGAGGATCATCAACATTAACAGATACATCTAAAAATGCAACTTCCATCTACATTTTTAAAGATGATAACCTTAGTAAGCAAACATTGATTTCTTTTGAGACACCTAGTAAGAAGATGAAATTTCCTTTAAATTTGTTTTTTTTTTTAAAGTAACATGTTTTATATTCATAAAAATAGATAATACAAATAGATCCATGCAATTCTAATATATGCAGATCATAAGAAATATACATATAAATTATCGATGCTAAATAAATGAACCTAGTGAACAGAGTTTGTCTTTGATTTATTACACAAAAGGTATAATGGGTTGCAATGCAAAATGTAGTTCTTCCTGTGAGTCGTGGTAAAAGAAAGTTTTAAAAACGCTGGTCAAGACAATCCACCAGGATTTATTATTGGAGGACATAATCCTAATAATGTAAGACATGCAGATGATATTGTGTTAATGGTAGAATCAGAAAGAACATTGAAAGAACGATTAAACAAGGTATTAAAGGAAATCAAAAAGAAAAGGCTATTAGTTAAAAGACAAAATGCATGGTTGTCAGCAAAAGAGACCATCCAAGTGTTGAGCTACATACTGGGTATGTCAAAAGCAGGTGCAGAAATTTAATGATCTGGGTTGTGTAGAAACAAACAGAATGAGCTACAAAGAAGTAAAGTGTATAAAAATAGCAAAATATGTATTTCAGAAACAAAGAAAACAGTGCTGAACTGTGATGTCATATCATATATGGCAGAAAATGTTGAGCAATAGCCTCACAGATAGAGACATATGAAGTAAAAGAAATATGGTTTTATTGACAAATATTGAGAATACCATAGACAGAACATGTAACAAAGTTTTAAAGAGAATAGGAAGAATGAAGCTTATACTTTGTAGTTGAAGAAGAAGAAAAGGAGAGAGAGAGAATCTTTTCTTTCTTACCTGGAGAAAGGAAAATAGAAAAAAATGTGTTAAGTGAACAATGTTAGATTAAATACTTTTCACTAATGAAAGGAGGTGATATGAATTGAGGGTAAGCAGGCAGCATAAAAAGCCAGGAAGGAGGTGCTTTTTTTGGGATGTTCGGTTGTGATGAGAAGACATTTTTTGGGGACAGCTTATCAAACAGACCAAAGGCAAATTATGATGATTAGTCAGACAATTTGACAGATTTAGTAAAAGGACTGGGGCAAAGGTAAGTTACTTGCCTGTTCTGGACAAGGATAAAGGCACCGAGTGTGGGTCTGATTCATTCATTCTACACACTTAGAATCAGAAAGTTTTGAAATTTCTGACACATATAATAAGCAAAGCTTGGAGAATTTAACAGAAGACATTAAAATCAAGAGAAGCAGAGATGAATGGCAAGTAAATTACTTGACCTGTTCAAGTGAATGGATAGCAGAACAAGTACAAAGAAGAGTATTAAAAGAGCAAAGAGTTACTTAGAACAAGAGAATGTTGTGGAGAGCCATGATCATCCATGTCCTGAAAAAAGCTGGCATATAAAAGAAAACTGAATATTTATTTCACCCAATGTATTCAAGAAGGTGCTAAAAAATTCTTGACCCTACCAAAAAGAGATTCCAAAATAAATTTTGATGTTTGTTTGAATTTTTGGAAAATGGACCAACTCAAAACTTTTACACACATGCACTCATTTTAATTGACTGCCTAGTCAAATATTTAGTGCATGATTTCCTCTCCATAACACTAGTACATTGAATGCAATACAATAGTCAGGTACTTTTGGGAGGGAGAGAGAGAGAGAGAGAGAAGTGCATCTTATAAGCTAGCATGTATGAGGGGCATTCCAGAAGTTTTGAGATTATTTTTTTTTTTTAAGCTATAGTTAACTTTTAACTTTAGTTATAAGTATCCTAGATTATTGTACTTTTAGTATATCATTATTATTATACCTCTAATAAGCTGACCTATCGACTTTTGCTATTCCAGATTAAAGGAGATGGTTACTAAACAACCCTTGTCACAGCTGACTAGTTTGCAGAATGCAGTCATTTTGGAAGTTTTGTGTTGATAGAGATGGGCAAAAAACTGTCCCTCACCTTCCCTACAACCCAAATCTCACATACTATGAATTTTAACTGTTCCCCAAGCTGAAGGTGAACCTTAGTGGCAGTTTTTTTGGAGGCATTGAGAAAATGAAGTAAGCTGTGACAAAGGCCCAGGCCACCTTCACTTTGGGTGACTTCCATAGGGCCTTCATGAAGTGGCTGGAATGTTACAAGTGCATTTAAGTCAGAGGATGTAGAATTTGAAGGCGATTAGAGAGTTTTGTACTTCTTTGAATTTAATAAATGTCTCCTGAAGAAATCTCAAAACTTCTGGAATGCACCTCATATATCTATATACTTTTTATAAAGTAAACAAAAACTCATTTTAACTAATAAATTCATTTGTAAATTACACTAAATGATCTCTTAAAAAATCTTCATACCAATAAGTGTCAATTGAAATCTAAGGCATTATTGATAAGATCTTTTAATTTTTCTTTCAGAGCCCAGAAGTAAAAATAAATGACAAAAGAAAATTTCTAAAAGTTCATGTAGATAATCAATCCAATAATAATAATAAAAAAAAAAAAAAAATCTCAACTTAGTAAAACTGATAGATTACCTACATTAAATCAAAATTTTCTGGGTAATGAGTAGTCTCTGTCCTGGGGTAACTGATATAACCCTGAGTATAAAGTCTTTCAGCAACTTGCATTGTGTGGTGAGGGCTCATACCTGGAAAAAAGAAAAAGAAAAACCGAATCATAAACATCAAGAAATTAAATTTGCTAAAATATTAGTGGGTTTTGCTCTTGTGCAAGACTTGGGATCAAGCTTTTGATGCGTTATGTTTGGTGTGATTTTTTTTTATTTGGTAACCTTCAAACTTTATTTACATTTGAACTAATGTCCTCATCTTTGTCATTATCAAGTTTTAGATGATAATAACGATCAACAATCAATTAAGCTAGTGTGTACTCTGTGACAACAGTCTAGTTGATTAAAGCATTGGTTCATCAATTTGGTGGCACAGTAATTGAGTTTACACCCTGGACAGAATGGTACAAACGTAGACTCTTGGGGGAGGGGCGGTAGAATGTGTGTGTGTGTGGGGGGGTAGGGTGGAATACTGAGCAGTACTAAAACAAAACATTGCCAGACATGGACAGCAGAATGAAAACAACCTACCCTGCAGATTAAATAAAGAATTCAGTTTGAAATTCCCCGATGGCTACCCAGATCAACAGACATCTGAAAGAGGCCAGAGGGCACAACGTCTGAAATATTGTGATAATAACAAATAAGAAGACATTAGTCCAAATGTAAGCAATAATAAATTTCCATCCCAGAAATTCAGATAGAATTGTAGATATATAAACAAGTTCATATCTGTTTTAAGTTAAAAATTCAATTTCATGGCTAACCTGCCAAATACATTTCTTAGATAAAAATCAAGCCTTTTCAACCTGTACACAGCTACAAACATGGCACATGTAGTTCGTTTTTTCATCAATAATAAAAATTATATAAGGTTGCATGTGTACGCACAACTTTTGTTGAAAATATTTATGAAATTGAATAAAAAAAAAAATTAAAATACTGCTAATTTTCATCATGGTTAATATATATATATATATATGTGTGTCCTTCTTGAAGCAAGACATCCAGTTACAAAATATTTTTCATGAGGATCTAGTTTACTCAGTCCTAATTTACTGTTTAGAAATGAAAATAGAATTGCTTCCCTTGGTGTAAAAAAATGTGTATGTGGTGGGGGATGAGGAGAGAAAGTGAGAGTGGGGGAGATCCATTTTTATTCTGAGCATTTTGTAGCATTAAAACAGTTAATGTTTCAGATAGGACGGTGTATGCTTCAAAACTCTTTCAATTACTGTAATTAAATTGCTTGAAATTTAAGAACCGTTTACCTAATGAGGAACTGGCAATCCTCAGCATTTCTACTGTGTTCAGTGCTTGTGGACGGGGCTTTGTTTTTTCCTTTTTCACCACGTCAGTCACTCTGAGAGAGAGAGAGAGAGAGAGAGAGAAGAGAAAATAAAGCATTGTATCATTCATGAAATCTCAGCAAAGCCATCAAAGTATGAAAGCTGTAAGAGATTTGTAAAGATATCACAAAAGTCATAAATACTAACAACGTACCTAGCTGAGTCTGCAGCTTTAATCATTCCTAGAAACATCTGCACAACTTCTTTATCAAAGACCCTGCTACGATCCCATTCAACTGGGATTGTTTTGCCATCAGGGTGAGCTACCTGAAGTAACAATACCAAACATGAAGAATATAAGTTTCAAGTCAAACATCACTCTTATCATCTGCATTACAAATTCAATTAAGAAAAATTAACTTGAGGAAAGTTTAAAAGATTTTTTTTGAGGGGGGGGGGTAACTGAAATGTCTTAATAGGGCAAATAAACACAAGTAAAATACAAGTTAAAATAAATTTTGCTATATCTATATATGTATATAAGAGAAAACTTTTAGGAAATAACTTTTGTAGATTGGAATTTTTTTAGACTTTCCTTAGACCATGAGACATGCCAAAATTAAAAAAAATATTTGTTACTGTTTAATATTGATTCCTGACTTTACAGATTGATTGATTTGTTTTTTATGACTTATCAACTCTTTGTAGGTTATTTAAAACCAGAGAATATTTTTAGATTGTAAGAAAATTTTTTCCAGATAATAATGATCTATTGATCCAAGTCTTACTAATTAACTCATAGATGAGAGAAGAGGTGGATTCATACCTTTTCCAAGGGTATTTGTGCGTAAGTGAATAGAACAAACACAACTGGAATTGGAACTTGGCTCTCCAATTAACAATTCCAGGCCATTATCCATTACACCACTCACACATCCGAGCATACAGCAACTGGTATTCCCAAGTGGTCCCCATCTAGGTACTCTACAGGCTTGATGTTGCTTAACTTCGGTGATCGTATAGAGAACCAGTGTTTCAATGTGACGTGGTCATATGCTGACTTTTTACAGAGCTATCTGGTATTAGGTTAAACCATTTGGCTGTTATTTACAAAAGTTAAGTTTTAAAATTTTCTAACATTGATAGCTGGATATTTTATTTTTTGATTCTTTTTATCATCTTTTTTGGTATTGAATTTTTTGGCAACACATGTACATTAGAGTTTCATAATTATTTATCTTAAATTAAGAATAAATCTATATATAATTTTATTTATGTAAATTCTTGTTCTTTACTTAAAAATGTACATAATCCATTTGTTCATTATTCAAGAAAAATATTTTTCTAACTGACCTAAAAAAACTGCTTCTGTATGCAAAACATCTAAGGCCAATAACTCTGTAAAAGTCAGGGATTTATTTGATAATATATTGAGATTATAAACAGCCCCCCTCTAAATAATAAAAAAAATTTTGCTCTAAGGAATGTTAATCTACAAAATGACCCCCCCTAAAAAAATAATAATAAAAAAAATTCCCTATTTTTTTTGAGAGTGGGCCAGTCTATTTAAGTAGCAGCACTTATAAATAATACACAACAGAAAATTCACATATTTCTTGGTGGTTTTATAAGCAAAGTAAAAGCTTTCTGTATATCAGGTCCCCACATTAAACCCGACCGTGTGTCACATGTTATTTCAGTAGGGAGGCTGGGGTAAATAAAAAGCTTCCTGGATATAACAGCCCATCAAACCAAACTTTAATATGGCTGCCATGGATGGCAATGAAAAATAGCAAATTACTTCTCTAGTATATTAAAAAAAATCCTTACCTTATTTTTTTGCTGTTAACTTTAATTTCTTTGAAAACCATAGATTATTGTCAATTGAAAACATTTGTCAATATTCTAACAGCTGATCATTTACTAAAAAATTTTTTTTAATTTGCACATTACAGTTCAATTTTTGAGATGTAGAACACTAGAAAGTTAGACATCTGAAAGAATCAGTGCATATGCTAGACTCCTTAGTATGCCTAGCATAGAAATAAATACAATATGGGAGCTGCTAATAAAGAAAGAAAGACAAATGAAAGTAAGCCTTCAACAGCAGCAGCCAACAAAACATGACAAACAGCAGAACTAATCAGCAGCCATGTTAGCTTTTAGGCTCCATGTTCACTACAGTGAATTGTCCTACAGGACAATAGCCTAGTGAATTTAGTGACATAGAAATTGTGAGTTCAATCCCTGTGTAGGGAAGTGTGTACTTGGACAGTTGAAATGGGCAAGCAATAATTGAGAAGTACAAAAATAAGAACTAGACAATATCCCTAGACATGGGCAGTGGAATGAGTTCTATCCCATATAGATTAAACAAAGGGTTCAGTTCAGAATTCCCTTTAGGTTATCCAGATTGATATACACCTGATGAAGGCTGGAGAGCACAATGGACAAAATGTGATAACAACAAAGTTGGGGATAATAGTCTGAATATAAATAGTGTAAATAATTTAAATTCAGATTTAGTTGTTACAGGAACTCTGTGATATTTTGATTTTGATAATATGAAAGTAAGACAAGATCGATAAATTTAACCAATTTAAAACAAATTTTTAAAAAAAGCTTTTTTATTAAAACAGAACTTTTCCATGATAGTTGGATATTGGGAATTTCAGTTCCTAATTGGATCTCAAATGGGATCCAATCATTTTTGTACAAGCTTAAGTTTCTTTTCACAGGTTAGTAAGTGAAAACGTGACTTATATGGTTTAGATAAATACAGTGTAACCCGGATATAAGAGAGATTTTCTCTGGTCCCAAATTAGAGCCTGTGTTAATGTATATAAAATAGACCAAACCTGGATATAAGAGACTTCTTCTCCAGTCCCGACAGCTCTCTTATATCTGGGTTACACTGTATAACTAATAAGACACAAAAATGAACTAATGTCAATTTGACTTACCTGTACATTAATGACCCAATAAGATTCTGGTTTGAAGGATTGAATTTTGTCATGTCTCTCCACACAAAATCCCAAAGTGGGAGATTGACATGGGCCATAGGATACCAAAGTACTGTCCAGGTTACCATATTTGCCCTACAAAGAAAATAAAAACCAAAATAAGATAGAAGTCAAATAAATTGGAATCTTTACAGGGAAAAGAAAAAAAAAAAGAAAAAAAAAAAGAGGAGTTACATGTCATCCATAGGAAAAAAAATATAAAGAAATAAATCAAAGCCAGAGAGGAAGTATGACAAAACCTATTTGGGATGTTTCATTGCTTTCTGTTGATCTTATAAAAAATGGAATATATACTCAGTTTAAACAAGCAGATCAACTGAAATGCTAATGTGGGTGTATCATGTAGCATTAGATTTTTACTAAGCTGACGGGTGTGGGCAGAGTTTTGTAACTGGCTTGATTTATTTGACTCTCTGGTGACTTGCCTGATTTTAGGCCCAGTGTACAAGCATTTCTTTTAAGTTGAAAGCCTATTTTCATTACTGAATATGAGAGACACCTAAAGAAAGCCAGAGGATAAATGGCCAAAATATTGAGACTATAACAACCAAGAAGAGGACAATAGCTATCTCTGCCTAAATATCAGTATGCAATGAAAAATATTAAACAAATATGTAAAAAAAAAACCCAAAAAACAAAAACCAAAAAGAAAGAAAAAAAAAAAAAGTAAAAAAAGAAGAAAAAAAAAAACAAACAAATATTAAAAGTTGAAGTTATAGAAGTCCATAAAAATGCATTTATGTACTTTTATAGACTTCTCCAACTTAGGAACAATTATATGAAAGTTGTGACACTCATTAAAACTTTTGTACTTAAAACGTTTAAAATTATTTAAAGTAGTAGAAAAAGGCATAGATAATGTAAAATATCATGACTTCTATGAAAAATGTGTGATCAAATTTACCTGAAAGAATTTGGTTTGGTATCGGGTAAAGGCACATCCAATTCTAAGGTCGAGTTCCTGCCGAGCATCTACAGACATGGCCTCATTCTCATTTGGGTGAGCAAGACTATTCATAGCACGTTTTACATCCGTTTCAGTGATGGCACTGAATCGAGCACGGTAAACTGTCTAAGAATAGATCAATTAAGATGAATGTAAAATACTAGTCAAGAATTAATAACAATAATGAACACATTTTGAAGCAATAAACACATAAGAAAGAATAAGATTTAAAAGAAAACAAAAAAATTCTATAATGAATATTTTGGTAACCATGTATTTTCATTGTGTGTGACCAAGTCAACAGCATTGATAAATAGAGAAAAAAAATGAAAATTAGATAATAGATGTACATAGTAGACTAGTATGTAAAATGATTTAGTTCTAAGATTTATTAATTTTTGTAGAAACTTGAAAATATAGACAAATGTAAAATAAATTATTTTTTGTTCGAAGTTTAGAATGTTAATGCCTCTTAAAATAATCAACAATCATTTTTTCAGGAAATATAGCACAAGTATAAGAATTTCTATAGTGTTTAAATAGATTAATTTTATAAAAATGATCTATGCTCAGAATTAAGAAATAGTTTAATATAAGTAGATTCAAATTTCAAATAAAAAACATATCAATAATGAAATGCTTTATTCTAGAATGCTTGCAGCCTAAATTAAAAAGTGGAAGGAAATTTTATAAAAGTTTAACAAAAAGCATGTTTGGAATATGAATGTCATGGGTGGATTTTTCTCTGAAAAAGAATCCTCCTCCAGTTTGTGTATTTGAAACTCAAATGAAAGTCATGCTTGATTTTGTCTTTAGAATTATTTAAAAAGCAAAGACTGTTACAAAATTATCAAAAAGAAAATTTTTGCAATGTCGCCTCCACTTAAATTTCATGTTTTGTCAGGACATGTGCTGTTATAGTTATTCACACACTCCTTTTCTTTAAGATCTGTAAATTGTACATTGCCATGATTGTTTTATGCAGAGACAGTGGATTTTATTTTATTTTGAAAAATGGTTATGTGGGTGGATGAATTTCTGAAATTATCAATGACCAATTTGAGCAAAACATGTAGGAAGAATTTGAATAAAGATCAAAATTTGCAATCGATGAAATGAACTGACCAACATTACAGACAATATAACACAACTATTGGAATATGTCAGGTATTGCTATGATTGATTGATTGATTAATTGATTTGTATTTTTATGGCTTATCAACCCTTTTTAGGTTATTTAAAGCACAAACATATTTTGGATTATAAAAATAATAATTTTTTTTCTTTGTGAGTGATTCATTGTTTTTTACAGTTCATCAACCATTTGCAGCTTATATAAAAACAGAAAATATTTTTATATTGAAGGATTTTTTGGAGATAATAATTTACTGATAAAAGTTCTACTAATTAACTCATAGTTGGGAGAAGTGAATTCATACATTTCTCAAAAGTATAAGTGAATATAACAAACCTGACTAGAATTGGAATTCAACTCTCCAATTTTGAGCTGTTATCTTGCACATCCAAGCTTACAGCATCTGTTATCCCCAAGCAGTCACCCATTCAAGTACTAACCGGGCTTGATGTTAGCTTTGGTGATTGTACGAGGACTAGTGTTTCAAGATGTTATCACTATAAGCCTTTTTGTGAGTGAATATTGCATTAACAAATTTTTTAAAATAATTTTTCCAGATACAGGTCCTACTATTTAACCCATAGCTGGGAGGAAATGGATTCATACTCTTCCCAAGGGTATTTGTACATAGGTGAATGTAACAGATTCAACCGGTATTTAAATACCTGCTCTCTGATTTCCATTCTGAGCCGATGAAATGTCCATGAAAATTTTGTTGGTCATAAGATGAATATAGGATATGAAGAATTTTTCAAAGTAGAACAAGAATGGAATAATTGTGTTGAGCTATTTATCAACAGGGAAACAGCAATAACAGAATTCTGCAAACAATGGGAACATTGACACATTTGTTTGAAATGTTTTCTCAGATTCAGAGGATTTCAATGTTGAAAATAAGTTTTCAATTCATGACACAGATCATAATTGAGCATTTGGTATATTTGGAAAACAATTTTTGCAAATATTTCCTACCAGAAATAAACAATAAATTAGATTGAATTCATCATTGAAAATGGAACAAGTGAACATCTAGGAAATCAGAAGGCAATTTGATTTTGCTAAAAACAGTGACCACTAGTCACTAACCCACAAAACACAGCTAGTTATTATCCACTAGTTATGTTGGAACAGAAACCATTTCATCAGAATTGCATTTTGAATACTTTATAGCAATAATTATAATCTTTATCAATGGTCACCTTTCTCAAGCTTTACTGGTTTCATGGACATAAAACATGATTCAGGCCATGAGTGCTAACTTAGTCACTAACATGGTTGGAGTCTTGAGAAATGATAGACACTGCTGGTAAGCACTGAGTGAACTCCAAGTGCCAATTATTTTATTTCTTTAACTTCAGCTCTTGATTTTTTTTTATTGTTCAGTAAAGACAATTATGTCACAATAACAATACCTATATATTTTTTATTTTATTTCTGAAAGTATTATAAGCTAAAAATAGGTGAAGATGTTCAATATTGGAAAGAGTATTTACAGATATTGCCTGCATAAATATAAGAATCAACACCATATACTGACTGCCAGTTTCACATCACAATACAATTTTCCATTCAAGTGTCTTGGTTTGAAGATTGTATTTTGGTGTGAAACTGAGTTACCAAGTGTTGATTCCTATGCCCACACACACACACACTATATATATATATATGAGGGCAATGGACATTGGGAGGTATAAGGACATTTGAGACGCAATTTACACAGAGGGCTGGAGCGAGGAGAGGAGAAACGAAGGCTTTCTGTCGGGGAGAAGTGTGCTTGATAGACAGAAAACAACAAAGCAACATTGGAGGAGAGCATCTTCACATAGATTCATTGCAATCAAGACTGTCACTTCTGTGTGGGCCTGTACAGCCATAACAGATGCTGCACTGCTTTGGGTGCAGACCCAAGGTTTCTCAAGGCTGATGGATGCCACACACACACATTTTATATATATTACTTCAAATAATAAATGGCATTTATTTCATCCACCAGCCTGAAAACTTGACAAAAATGTGCCCTACTGCAGAATTCGAACCTGCATCTCCTTTTGCAAGAGAAACCGCTGTCTGATCCAACGTGCTTTGACCACTTGGCTATAAAGAGCATCACAGCCAAGCAAGGTTCTATTTGATTTAAAGCATATTCACTCGTTCAGATTTCTCCAAAAGTCAAATCTGCTCAGTTTTGTATCCAAAACGTAAACAAACAATTTCTAATTCTGTCATTTTTATTACTTCAAGTGGTTATTCTTGTAAAGGTGGTTGCAGGTTCAAATCCTGCTGGCAGGCACATTTTCTTTAAGTTTTCTCAAGTGTGGAGGCCAGTTGATTAAATAAACACTTAAAAAACAGCATCTACTCAAATATAGATCTCCACTAAACATAACATTTGAAGTAATAAAAATATGTTGGATTAAAAAATAAATCGATTAATTCTTGTGTGTGTGTGTGTGTGTGTGAGTTAAAGATGAAATGCAGATCAAATATCACTTTTAAAACTTCATCAGAGATTGAGAGAAAACGGGCAAAAAGACATAACATTGGTACTTTCAATTTTGTTTAGGTTGATTCTTATAGGTTTGTTATGTATCACAGGAATTAAAATAGTAGATAATTCTATATATACGTAAGTTTGTAAAAATTCTAAAAAAAAAAAGAAGAAAAAGTTACTGTACATATGTAATGCATTATATTACCTGATCACAAATGCGTTTCAAGTGTGACCTCACAGCATCAATGACTTCAAAGCAAATATTTTCTCCTTCTTTATCACAATCCAACCACAAAACCAGAACATCAATCCCTTTGGCCTGTACAAAAACAGTGCATAAAGTTAATATCCAAAGAAAAAAACCCAAAAAAAACAACCCCCCCCAAAAAAAAACAAGCAAAACATACATTTTTTTAATGTTTCAAAATTATTAGTCAAATTTCTCTATTTCAATTTTAATGTTTTTGTGATATATCCTAAAATCTGGATAAAATATTGATAAGTGTAGCAAAAATGCTAATATGTGAGCTGACAAACAAGGATTTTAATATACACAAAATTTATCTCTTGTTAAATCTGTAATGAACTTAAAAGTAAAAGTGAAAGAATTAAAGCTGAACACCAAACATTCTATATGGACAAAATCCTCTATAAATTAGCAGGTTTAAAAATTCTTTTATCTAATGGGAATATTAGGATACAATATAGCTAGAGCAACATGTTTAGTATGATATAAAGGCTGGTTTTGGAATTGTCAAGAAAGAGCAATAGGTCTTTAGGTAGCCTTGTACCAAATAGGACTGGTTTTCCCAGGGAGCTGTATATATATAAGTGTTCACCAATTAGAACAAAAACATAAGTCAATCTTAGCAAATCTACTACACTCTTCTTCCTGTTGCAGTCAGTATGCAGTTTTGTAAATGTGTTAGTATCTGCATTCATCTTCAAACTTCAGATTCTTCATACTGCATTTGCTATTAGAGTACTAAGTTATGTAGTGCCACTCCCTGTTGATGGTCTCAAAATGTGACTTGATATCTATAGTTGTAATATCCATATCATATGTGCCATAAAAGTAGGGTATAAAAGCTTCATGTATATAAATAAAAGGTCATCTTATAAGAATTCCATTTCTGTTTCTGACATTATCTGTTTGATAGTTGCAACGTAATTCAATTTCATACCCATTGGTCACTATGCTTTTCTCTTAATTTCATCTTCTGCATGAATTTGTAGCCATTATAATACTTTTGTTGCTAAGTGGATCATTCTTGAAGCATTTAGGCACTGTCTTAGCGTACTGCTATTGATGGCTGTTTTTTTAATATTAGAATTATTACAGCTGAAAGAATCTTTGATATTTGCTCTGCTGTTTGCACTTGGGATATTTCTAGGTTCCAATAATCTCTGACTTGGACACATTTGCTTAAGACTATTTTCTTTGCACTTTTACTGCAGTCTCAGGTCTTCTGTCTTTCTGTTTGAGGAAGAGAAAATGAGTGTTTATACTTTCACACTAAACACAATTTCTGTTTTTGCCTTTTAAAGCCTTTTGACAGAAAATCATAGCCTATTATTAGAAACAGTTTTCCTGGGACTCTTATACAAGTAAAATGAACCTCAAGTTTGACTTGCTCCCTCCTTTTTTTTTATTTTCATTTTTTAAGTTATTTCACCACAAGCAAGGAAATAAAGCCACTAAGACATAAGGGGGTTACTGAGAGTGAAAGAAACTGAGGAAATGTTATCGGAGAGAGAGGAAAATAAAAGAAGATTAAAAAAAACAGATGATGATTGGGGTTGCATTTAAATTCTTGAAGATTATAATTGACAGGAAAGCAAGAAGCTGAAAGAGTTCCACAGGTGAGAAGTGTAAGAGACTTGTCATGTTATAGTCAATTTTTAAAAATTACTATTTAAATGATATTAAGTATAAAGTCCTACTATAGCAAAATAATTTTGTTTTTACTTTCTTCTATGAATTCACTGGTCATTATAAGATATCTCCTCTTTCAGTTGACTTCTTCAACATTCTTTACAGTTAGCTTAGTGTTTGATTTCTAAAGTCATTAGAGGTTAAAATATAAATTCCTTTCTTTAACTTAGGCAGGCATTTACACCCAATCATGAGCAATGGAGTTTTTGTATAGTACCTAGCTTGATTATCATTTCTTGAGTTTGTTTAGGAAAAGCAGTAGAGATTTATTGCTTGTTTGCAATGTGTTTTATTTTATTTTTTTTTTAAATGAAATTGAATTAAATTTCCTAAACAACAATAGCAAGCTTGTATTCAAATTTCATTGTTCACTTCAGTTATTCCAGTCTGAAAATTCCTCAATAAGACTGAGTGATCAAGTTCTCAATTCTCCAGTGTCACTCTAGGCATCTAATTCTGTAAAGAGTATTGGTATATTATTGGTTTCATATCTTTATCTACGGCACTAACAATAGTCAAAGGTTAGACAACATTATTAGCAATCTGTTTTATAGTTGACAGATCCATAATATTTTTCTAAGCTTGTTTAATAAATTAAATTTAATTTTTTGCTACAATAAAAAGAAAAAGTTACTTAGTAAGTGGTTGGTAAATTATGACTGCTTTTCTTAAACATGTTTGGTAAATGATAATCAATTGATTAATTTGTTTTCTATGGCTTATCAACTCTTTCACAGATTATTTAAAGCCAGAAAATATTTTTACACTGTAAGTACATTTTTTTTAGATAATAATGATTTAGTGATACAAGTCTTACTAATTAACTTATAGCTGGAAGAAGTGGATTCCTACCTTTCCCAATGGTATTTGAATATAAGTGAATATAATGAACAGGAATTGGAACCCAGCTCTCTGATTAACAATTCTGAGCCATTATCCACCACCTGCATATCCAAGCTTACATCACCTTGTATTCCAAAGCAGACACTCATCTAGGTGCTGATCAGGCTCAATGTTGCTTAACTTTAGAGATTGGAAAATGGTAGTCAAACCTAATTCCCTTTTAGAAAGAGCAAAGTATGATTACCTTCTTGCCAAAGTTGAAATATTAAATTACATTACAGGTCGTCTGCAGCTTATAGCTGTTTGATATACATGAGCTGGTATGTTTGTCCAGCTGGCCATGACTGCTCTACATCTCTCAATGTCAGTGTTTCCCAGCTTGGTGTACAACAATTTTTGCCCCAGCTCCAGGCAGTGTTAACATTTCCTCTTGTGGTTCATGTCTTAGTGTTAGGGCAGTCCCCGAATAACACACTTTCCCCATAGAGTCCATTTGTGTCTGAAATTTTTCATCAAATCCCCAAAGTGTCTACCAAGAGGAAATTGTCTATGCCTACCAAGACAAAAAGAAAGGCAACTGACCTTGACACAAAAATAATGGGAATTAAACAGTATGAAAAAGGAAAAGAAATGAATATGATTGTATGGGATCTAAAGTTATCACACTCTACTGTGTCAGCAATTTTGAAGGACAGAGAAAGAATTTGTAAAGCTGTGAAAGGTTCTGCACCTAAGTGATCAACAGTTATAATGGAACAATGGATAGGGCTTGTCCATGAAATGGAGAAATTCCTGCATATGTGGATGGAAGATCAGATCCCAAAAAAGGTTCTGTTGAGCATTTTTACTGTGCAGATGAGGATTAGAAGTCTATTTCAGACTTTGAAGGAGTGTGCCAGAGAAGACTACAATCAAGAATTTGTAGCAAGTACTGGATGGTGCAAGAGATCCAAAAGCTGTTTTTTACATATCGTGTAATTCAGGACAAGCACACCATATCACCACCGGCTACTCCAACAGTACTGATGATCCATAACCAAACACAGGAACTAATAAGATGTTTTGTATTTTTACATATTTTGGCATGTTTTGTAACTAAAATGTTTTGATTTTTGCACCATGTATATTTGGTTTTCAGTATGTTTAGCAAATATTAAAAACCAACTGTACAGTAGTATGCAGTTTTTGACTTAAACCTGAAGAATGTAAAAATAAGAAACGAAACAATGTGTAGAAAGATGAGACAAATGGTTTCAAATGTAAAGAAACCTTAAAAATGATAAAAAATACAATAGTGCCGAAAGAAAGGTTGCAAAGTTATAGGTTGACATATGACCAAATCTGATTTACAATCTGTTGGTCATAACTAATTATGGCTATAAGTTGACAGGGTCCTATATTATAAAATGATTGATACTACGGCCATCCTTGCTAAATTGTTTAACATAGGTTTCATACTATGCAATCCATTCGGGGCCATACTTATATCATATTAGTAAAATCAATTCCATTCCTTTGGCCAGTGTTCATTAACAAAATGTTAACAAGTTACATCTTGGTGACAGACAAATACTTCAGTTACATCCATAACATTGGTACTACAAACATTTAGGGACTAAATAATGTGGGTGTGTTCTTTTCATGTGTGTACCTAATAAAAGTGTAGTTATCAAAATGTTCTATCAGATGATGATGATGATGATGATAATACAACCATCATTTCCAAGTGAACAAACAAATATTTGCCTGGTGTGAAGGTTCTGCTCATATCATCAACTGATTTGCCCTCTTGCTGTAGGACTACCCTGTCGATGCTTCAGCTTTTAGGTCATATGCCAGAATTGGCATTTTGAAATAAATAGCTGTTGGGAAGCTTGCTTATATTCCTTGCTCATAATAGCTCAGCAGCATTCAGGCCACTTGGTGGTCTTATTTGTTTTTAAAGCTAGTTTGGATAAGAATCGTGCTGAGATTGCAGATCATGTTCTTCAACTGAAAGATTTCACCTGCTGGTGCAAACATCTCTTATTACACAGTTTCTCTAAATTGACTTTAACCCACATCAACCAATGATTACTCCCCCTGCCCCCACATATATTTAAACTATAATTATAAACTATTATGCAGGAAAGTGAAAATTTCACTGAAATATGTTGGAAATTTTCAAGTTTTCATCTGAAATTAAAAAAATACAAACCTTAAATCAAAATAGTCACAATATATACAAAAAAAAAAAAAAAAAAAAAAAAAAAAAAGGAATCAGTTTAAACTAACTCCAGGGGGAGATAGGTTAAATTCTTCATAGGTGAATAAATGGCTGTGAAAATTCATGCTTTTATCATATTCAATTTTGGATTGAGATAACTTTCACTAAACAGTTTTTGTAGCAGAACTGTGAAATTGATGATGTTGTTTAACTGTAGTTTTCTTATAGACTATATCAGAGCTTTACAAACTGGAAAGTGAAAACCATTAACCATTCTTTTTTTTTTTTAGTAATTAAATTTTTCATTATTTTCCCCTTTTTTGCATCTGAACATGTGATTCTTCATCACAAAAATCAAATAGTGTAATCATTAAAACAATTTTCTTCTATATTTATTTATATTTCTGAGATGAGGTATTGTAACTATTTACATTGTTCAGACAGTTGTCCTTATCTTTACTGCCATATTCACAACATTTCAGCCATTGTATGCTTTGATCTTCTCCAGGTGATATGCATATGGCTCATTGGATAAAATCATCGGTTGAAGTAATCCAAAAAGTGACTTGACCCAAAGAGTTGTGAGTTCATTACCTGGCAACATCAGAAGGAACAGAAACTTGGAGAATTGAGTTACTAAAGGGAATTAACCAAAAAAGGTATGGCATGTGGAATTAGGTCAATCTACCCCAGTGGATGAAATAAAGAGCTCAGTTCGAAATTCCAACATATATCACGTGAAGAAGGCCAGAGCATACAACAGCCAAAATGTTGTGAATATGGCAATAAAGATTAGGCCAACAGTGCGAATGATGTAAATAGTATAAATAATTTTCTTCTAATAAAAAAATTCTTTAATGACACAAAATATATTTACTTTGCATTTATCTACATCATAAAATAATGCATTAACAAAAAAATGACAAGGAAAAAAAATGAATGAATGAAACAGAAATACATTTGTGGTCTCTGAAGAGAGCAGAGTTAACCTTTAGCACACTGCATTATTAATATTACTTTCTTTTCCACTGCATTCTTTCTCAGTTGCAGTAATCTTATTGTTAATTTCACTCAAAAGTGTTTTCTATTGCCATAGCAGGATTTAAAAAACAACTATGAAATTGAAACAAATTCAAATTCAGTAGTAGGATAAACTATTTGCACAGCAAATGAAATCACAGTGATAAAAATTAACTTAATGACCAGGAGAGAAATAGATTTTAGATATCAACTTACCTCTCTTCTAAGGAAATCTGGCATATGTAAATTGGGAGAGGCTTCCTTCTTAAGAGTTGGTGCTGAAAATAACTCCACCTAAAATAAATACATACACAAGAACTTTTATATAATGTTTTTCTTTTGTTAATTAAAAATAAAAAAATTATAGACAAGGAAATAATTTTTACTTGTACAAACAATACTGTTTATTATGTTTATTTCATGACTCAAACATAAGCCAAAATATTTGAGAAAACTTGTAGAATTTAAAATTAAAGGTTTTAAAATATCATTTGTAATATTTGAAATTCTGTCATAACAGAATTTTCTAAAATTGCTAATGAAAATATCACTAAAAAATAAAATCAATTATACAAGTAATATAAATATTTGACTCTAAAACAGCACTTACCAAATTTTTTACCCTTTGGAAACCCTTGAAATAGTTTTCATTTCTCAGGGAAGTCCTGCATGAAAATTATTATATACCATTATTAATATCTATTTCTTTTATACTTTATTATCATGTTTGTTTGTAAAATTCGTCTGATCCTATATATAGAGATTGGCCACATGATGTTAGGCGGTCTCTCATGGGTTCAGAAAAAGCTGACCACCACCAGAGAAGGGACTGGACCTGCTCCAAAGCAACAAGAAATTCTCACCACCATCAAAGGTACCAGTTGATGAGGGCTTTAAAGGTACAGGTTATCTAGCCACAATTCACTCCACCAGATGGATAAGTCTGTCCGACATATTCTCTACATATAGGAAAGGACATTAATTGTGTTTAAGTTAACCGTTGTATTCATGTTTAGGTGTAAATAAATATCTTTATTACATGTTGATAAAGTATTCTTATTTGTGTCAGTCCCAAAGTAAAGTGAGGCTAGCACAATAATAATAATAATCAAGGATTTTCCAACAATATGACTTACATGTATAGTAAAATTACAAATATAAAATTAAACAAAAACTAGTCAAATATGCATTAGACTTTTTATCATTGTTTCTTGTGGAATGCTAGGGTTCCAGGGGAACACCAGTTGAAAAATACTATTGTAAAATGATATACACACAAATTAAGATATACAGAAATTATAATTAAATTTTCTAATCAACTTGTAATGCATTCAGGCTCTATAACGATAGAGAATTCCAATTTCTAAAACTTTGTTAATTAAAATAATCTATATAAAGGTACAGTGTATGTCTCTGTCCGTTTTTCAGACAAACCATAAACAACCTGAAGTAACAGGTAGTAACTACTGTAGTTATATGTGATTAAAAATTAAATAACTCATTTAAAGTTAATTTAAATATTGAACAAAGTGAAAGGTTTAAAGATCAATTCTTTATTAAAGGTTTAACTTTAATTTTGCTTTTCATTGCAATTGATATTATCTAACAATAATTAAAACTTAAGCAGAGCATAATGTTGCTCATGTTTTTTTTTTTCTCTAGCACATGTACTGTGACGTATTTGAAATATTACATAGTTTGGGTTCCCTAATGTCTTTTAAGAGTGACTTTATGTGAAGAGATCATAAAGAATGGTGACTTTAAAAGAAAATAAAAATTGTGTGCAAAATAAATGCAAACAAACTACAGATTGGTTGTGTATATGAAGAAAGATTATGCTGAATTAACCTGTTGAATAAAGATAAAATAATTTTATTATTTCTAAATTCTTATAACTTTTACGTACATAGGACACTGAAGGTAAAAGGTCAAAATCCCCAAAGCCCTCTGCAGGACCTAGCCTTAAGTCCACCTGAAGGGCAGATTCTAGGCTAGGTTTAAATAAAATAATTTCTCATTGATTTAGATTTTTAATCAGCAATTTTTAACAGATCAGTGAGCATTTTGATGTGTGAGGGATGTGTGTGGGATATTGGCTTGCAATGAGAACTCAAGAGAGCCGAGTTTTTATTCCAGTCAAGTTTGTTACATTCACTTAAGTGCAAATAACCTTAGGAAAGATATGAATCCATCTCTTCTCTCCTCAGCTATGGGTTGGATAGTAGGAAAGACTGGATCGTATAGCCTTGTTTGACAACCAGTCTATTGCAAAAAGAAACAGCAAGCTACTGAAGGAAAAATTTCTGTTTAATCAGTTATGGATGGAAAGAGACATAATTGCTCAAATGTGTATCATGGAAAGCACTGATTGAACATTGTGATAAAAAGCAACCAAATAAAAAGTTATTTTGGCATTTCCTTCTCCACATGGTGAATAAACTGAAATTACTCCTACCAGTGTTTAATGGTACATGGAAAAGCCACAAGGATTTGATTTATTAGTCAGTATTGACACAATCAATGTGTTAGGTGGGCGTGTGTCCATTTTGTGGTCAGGTAAAGTGCAGTTTCTCTGCAAGGAGGTGCCTATATGTGTAGCACACTACGTTGATGATTGTGACTTTCACACTGAATAAATTACAAAACCACAAAACAGAGTATCCCATGTCTGCACAAGTCAGGGGTGCATACGAGGAAGAGCTTAAACAGTGAATCAAGAATGACTAGCTGATTCCCTAAAATGAGAGGAGACTTGGACTCCCAAAAGGACCAATTCCATTAATGCTCATAGTACAACAGTACAAGAAGTTAAAGGTGTATCCTGTGACGGACTACAAGGATATCAACTGGTATGTCAATGTGTTCCCAACTGATGCAGAAGTGTGTACAAGCAAATTTAGGATGTAGTACCAGCAAGGATCCAATATACATCTCTCTGCTGGACCTCAGGGAAGTCTATTTACAGGTACACATTCATGAGAGACTTTTGTGATACCAGACAATTGTGTTTCATGGCAGAAAGTACAGCATAACCAGACTAGGCTTTAGGCTCAACATAGCACTGCAAGTAATAAAATCTATCATAGGAACTATGATGTCCCAAGATGAGGCAATAAATATTGATTTATTTTTTATGACTCATCAGCTTTTGAGACAATAAATAAAGCAACTTCAGCATATATTGATGATGTATATATTAATGAGAATGGGCATGCACCTTATACAAGTAATCCCAGTAAGTAAGGATTGAGAACACCTAATGGATGGTGTGAGGGTACTCGACAATTTGAGAAAGAAATGCAGTCCCAGAAGTGATTACAAGGAGAAATGCCTTCTCTCTGTGTGGCAAGCTATTGGGATACCTTCCAGTTTGCAGCTGGTTGCATCTAGCAACCAGTGTTATGAAATGTAGGGTAAAGGTGCTGATAAAAAGTTGGGATTATACCCAGCTAAAGAAGATGATAATGAAAACTGTGATGAGAGTAAAGCAGAGTAACCCTGCCTAAAGTAAATGACGTGTGAGTGGTGAGCAGTTTGATATTTGGGTTGACAAACTCTTTGACAAGATTGAGATAAATGAATCTACCATTGAAGACACATTCTAGCTGCATCTTGAATCCAATATAGAACATATAATCTGTGCAGAGCTGGATACCATAATAAAAGGAATCAACTTGGTCATCTAATGGAAGGCAAAAGTTCTTCACTTAAAAGCCTGAAGTTTGTGTTCATCACTGGCTTACCACATTTTAAGCAGTAAAGCAACACTGAGTATGAAGACTGTGAGTGAAATGTTGATAAGGATGAAGCTGTATACATTATCATAGATAGTCAAAGATTAGAGTTTGGCAGTGGATGCTATTCTGTCTAATTCAAGCCAAAACAAAGTGGACAAAAATCACCAGAGTTCCACAGGGAAGGTGTGAGGCAGTGAAGAATGAAACAGAACCTACACTGTAGATCTCTGTTGCTACCACAAAAAAGATGGAGGCTGCACTGATACTGCATATACACACATGCAGTGGACACCCAGGTGTAAAATGGATTACACATTTTGTCAGAAGAGTTATTCCTTCTACATCCAAAGAAGAAATTAGAATCTGCTCAGAGTACCAATCAATTGATCCAGAACCATTCCGAGAGAGAAGTTGGAGGTGGCTAATATATGGTACAGACTGTGGATGAACATAATTCATGTTTCAGATTTTCTTTTATAAAATCTTTTAATAAATTATATAAAAAAAACCCTTTAAGACTACAAAATATCTAAGAGACTAGCCAAACAGCACATAATAACTATTAGCAAACTAATTAATAATAATTATTAGCAAACTCTAATAGTAAATTTAATATGTATCTTAATTTTGAATAATAATGATGATGATGATCCTTTAGCATTTGAGACTTCTTAAGCAGTTGATATTTGAGCTGACAATACATAACATTCATAACAAAAGTTTGTATTTAGAGAGAAATCTAGATGTTTATCATAATTGTGAACATCAAATGCCAGAAATAACACTTATGAAAAGATATAAGAGTAATTTATAAAAAAGGTATGATGAAATATTAGTAGCAAAAAGAATTTACTATATAAATATGTGTATTAATGTGCTACGTAAGAGCTGAAATTGATTTCAATTGAATATAAGATGCTTCAATGAGTTCTACAAAAGTTTGGTTACTTTTTAGCTTGACTTTCCCAAAATTGTGATATAGCTTTCCTCCATCTTTTCTATGAATATTTTCATGGCAGTTGTTCTAATGAGGTCTCCTCCTTGGTACTGCATGAATTTAAGTGTACTACTAGATTGATTACTAGGCCTCATCATTTTACTGTTGAAATAGCTAGCTGTAACCGATTCTATCCTAATAGTTTATTTTCTTGTACTTCTTGCCTCTTGAACTGTCTTCCAGTTTCTCGATTCCCTGCAATCTATGAAAAATTAAATGTAATATCAATTACCATTTTCTGTCTTCCTGAATCCTATTTTTTCATTTTTCATTGTCTTTTCTCCTAACTAAAGTATTCCTATTCTCTTCCACCCCCAGTAACCCCTAGTGAATTTATCAGCTTGCTTTGGATGAAACAATTTAAAAAAAAAAAAAAATTCACATACAAAAAATTAGCATAAGTTTACTATTTGATATGTTAACCTGGATACATTCACATACATATAAAACACACACAACTTATAACAATTGTATATTTGAAAGAAAGAAGTCAATGTTATTTTATTTATTTCATATATGAAACAGCATCAGAAAAAGGCTGTTTTAACAGAGTATTTTTT